GCTTAATGATTAATTAGATGGAACATTGTGGGTGTGGTGTATGAATGTTAACACCTTGTATTAATTCTTTAGTATGTTACTTGTGTGGTGTAGAAGATAATTATTTAAGAATGTAATTATGTAAGAATGTTAACATTCTGTTATAATTTTTTTAGTATATTACTTGTGTGGTGTAGAAGAGAATTATTTTGTAGAGATACTGCTTGCAAACCAATGATGGTAAGATGATGTCATGGGGTAGGACTGGATAAGTCTGACTTCTTCCTACTCCATTCAAGCATGTACTAGGTATAAGCAAATTGATATTGGATTAGCATTTGTTGGATATGTGTAAAATTATGTGTGTTGATATATCAACTGTCTTTACATGCTTGAAAGAATAAATCAAATCAAATCAAATCAATTATTATTATTATTAATTAATTAAAACGTAAACCAAAAAAAGCTTTTACCCCAAGATGATTTCTTCAGATGTCTTTTCTCTGAGCAGTACTCAGAAAGCTATCACAAGGGAAATGAGCAAATCCTCACAAAGTTGGAACTACCAAATCTTAGGCTAACTGACCAAACAGTTGCTAATTATTTATGTTACATGACTAATCAATTGATCAACTAATCATTTGAATTTAATCTGACAATTTGCTTTCAATGCAATCTTATTGAGAAGAAGTTATTTTGTAATTATTTTACAAAATTCTAAGCAGAAATCTAACAAAATGGTAATATTTTTGTGTGAGTTTTGTCTCAGGTAAAGTACAATACTTTAATATGGGTCTTGCAACTGAACAATACAGTGATAAAAATCATCAATATTGCTAAATAATTCCTACTAATGTGACTGATTTCACACATCCTTAATTTGCACACAAGTATTGCACTAGCTGCATTTTCTCCCTGACATCTACTGTATATAATGAGGTAATACCACTCAGCAGTTGGAGAACCAAGCATGTTTACTGCAGGTGTAAAGCCTTGATAAACAACAAAGAGGTTTCTATGCAATAATTGGCTGTGTCTTAGGAGCCTCCAGTCACAAGCAAATTAATAGGCCTGAAAACAAATATATTGCCTGCATTTGCTGTGCGGTAGTACAGTATGTGCCTGAATTTGCCTGTGTTTATATGTAAGCGAATAAGCTCTGCTATTCCATTAAGCTTTACGTGGCTGTGTATGTGTGTGTGTGTAAAATGGAAAGTAAATGTCGACGCTATAGGCATCTACGGTATACCCCTCCATTTCCCTTGCCTCCTGCAACATTAACTGTCCAATGGCAGGATAATAGAGGGAAAACCAATGCAGCACTCAGACATAGCAATGCACCACCTTCCTAGTACATGTATGTCTGCATGTGAGAAAAACTGAGAAAAAAGTATTAAATGCATGTTGAGGTAAGTGTTTGTGCTGCTGTGTGGGAATGGGCTTTTGGCTGTTTGGAGGTGAAAGAATTGAAAATGGCAGGAGCAAGAAGAGATTAAACACTCTGGGGAGTCTGTGTGTATCTATGCACACACAGATGATGCATCATGCAGCCACTGCTTCTAAATCATGTAACAGAAGAGTGGCAGTGAAGGAAAAGCTGCACTCCAATGATTCCCCATTGGCTGAGGGAGGCAGAGG